CGGTTAGGTACTGATCACTATTCACCGATGGTTAGGAGTTGAATATTCCAATTTTAAACTACAATTTATAAATACTTTTATTATTTGCTATAGGTTTTACCAGCTGGTTTGAAATTTCTTGCTTTGTCTCCTACCTTGTGGCTTTTCCTTGTGATTTGACATTAAAAACTGACCAACTCAAAACAATGAACTGAGATTGATTAGCAAAAGAAATGATTTTTTGGAGTTGATGATTTAATTACACAGCTTTGTCAAGTTCACAAGCTAAATGTAATTAAAGGTTTGTTTGGTCAAAATGCAGTTTTGACCGGTGGACTGTGAATGTTAATATTATTTTTGTAAGTTTATGGGAAATCTAAAGGGCCAACAGTTCATTCTACAAATCCTCCAAGTTTTGCTTCCCCTGGGAAATGGGTAGGCAGTTAATACAATGAAAGAGACCATCACCATAGTCCTTACTTAGCCCCCATAATTAGGATTTATAATGGTAGATAGTCCTTCTTTTTTTTTTTTTTTTTTTTTTTTTAAATATGGATGATTGTAAAATAATGAAAAAATTTCGATTTGCGTGTAATATTATTTTATTGAAAATTGTGTAATTGAAAATAGAAGAGAGAAAATTTTAAATTAAATTGATGAGTTTTAATGGGGGTCAAATGGGAGCTTAGCACCACACTTGTTCTTTCTAGAAAATTGTGGTAAGGATAAATAAAGTAACCTTAAAATCTGGATAAAGTCCATAAAAGACATAGGATTATCATAGGCCTTAATTAGCACCACATTTTACTTGTTTCAACATTTTGCACTTTTTGAAGTTTAAGTTCAGTTGTATTCTTTGGATTTAATTTGATTGATGCCATATGTGTTTTAATTTTGGGTTCCTATGAATATGATCTTACCTATGGGTTGATTTCTATTTTCTGATTTTTTGAAAATAGTTAAATAGGATCTTTGATTTCTCATTTTATAGGATTTTCTGATGAAATTGCAATTTGCAATATGATTCTAAATTTATGATGAATAGATTAATGTAATATAATTATATATTTGTATTGGTGTTTGATCTTAAATCTTTATTTCAGACTTGTGAGTTGTGATGATGGAATTCACAAGGGTGTGATTCCATAATTTTTGTCGAAATTTTACTTCTCAGGTAAGCAATGACAATTGTCCTAATGTTAAGTTTTAAGTTAGTAATATATTGTATAATACACCGTTGAATTTTGCATTTATGCTATTTCGGATGCTTAATTTACGGACTTTCATAGGACAAGTTCTGAATGATTCAAACAAATATCAAAAATAATTAAATATTCGTAAAACGTACGTTTGAAGAAAAGACGTCTAACAAGGTTTTTCTTTAAAAAAATTCAATTATTTCATTAACGTTTATTATTTTTGCACGATAAATTTTTTAATATAATTTATTCGATTTTATTAGGAAATTTTCCATCGAATATGACGTCAAAAATTTTAGAATTGTTACAGATTAAATGTAATTTGATTTACTTTCAAATTATATTTGCTTTAAATTTGAATTTCATTTATTTCCTAGATTAAATTTGGATTTTATTTCAATTCATTTACTTTCTAAATTCAATTTGATTACTTACTGTCAACTCAGCGTTGTCAACGAAATAGTAAACAAAACTATACAAGCAACAAAATTCATTTAATAATATTGAAAATGATGTAATTATACGATATTTCAAATTATCAAAATACGTATTAACTTATTTTTATTAATATTATGTTTTTTAAAAAAAATTATATTTTAATTTTTGATCTCAGAGTACAAAAGTTATGGGTTTGCCTGCCTACCCTAACTACCCCACTCATTAACTCTAATTCATTTTTCTATCCAAACAAAAGGTTACAAAACTTCTCACTTTCCTCATTCTTTAGTCACAAGATCACCGACGCGCTGTTTGCAGGACTCTTGCAGGGTTGTGCTTAGTTGAGCTCATCATTGCACATAGCAATGATGGTCTTGGGGTTGAGGTAGTTTTGAAGTTTTGGAGTTGCTTCCAGGGGCAGAGCAGGAATTACAATTATAATGGGATAAAATTTTAAAAATTTAATGTACGAATAAAATTTATATATAATAAGAAAAATTCATAATATAAGTTACCAATTACAAATTCCATTATTCCAAGATCTCAAACAATTGTCAAATAACATATGCTCTGATATTACATTGATAAGTATGCAAAGAACTCAATTTTTTTTCAGGAGGCAATCATTCCGTTTCAACTATAAGCACCATCAAGTGAATAAGTGCCAACCGCCAAATGCCAAAAAAAAAATTTCAATTCCCAATTCCCACATAATTAAAAGACAAACAAGAAATATAATAACTACCCAAAATATCAAGTATAATTAATTATTCCAACGACCAATATCTCATTCTCGAACAAATTCCATTAATTTATTTCTGCCTTTTGCCGTCTTCATTCTTATTATAACCATTCACCGAATATTTATCATATACAAAATACAATACAACAAACTAAGTATAATTAATTGAAAAGATATTGAAAGATTTTAATTCGTTCCCCATATGAATCTTTAGTGCAAGCACCAAGGCCAAGTTCTGTGCAACTTTCTCTGCATTACCCCACACTTTCCACTTTCCAGTTTCCAACTTCATATTTAACTATGTAAATTCTAATTGCTGAGAATGAAAGATGGATTTGAATGTGTATATGATTGTTAACCATGCCCAGAAAGAAACTAAAGAAAAATAATTTTCTTTGATAGGAAGAATCAAAGTTTTCATAAATAGTCTGTTTCAGTTCTAATTTGCACTCTCATTTCAAATTATTAAAAAGTGGTTACAGAGACGATTATTAAATCTAAAAATTTTAATAGAATAAATACATTATAGTATTTCATATTCCAATTTTAATACTTAATAGAAAATTGGTGCAAGTGGTCCCAAAACTTTGCACAATTTTTCATGTTCTAAGAATCTAAATAGTAAATTACTTACCCTAAAACCTAACCCAAGTCCGCAGCCAGGAGGCCCAGGCGTGAGGCGATGAATCGCAGCAATATCTGAGAGTCTGTCCGGCAATGAGTCAGCAATCGTTGAGAGTCCGACCGGTAGGGGCAAAGTGAAGATTTATGATTTTTGATTTTTGGGAATTCTTTGGCTTGGTTTTGCAAAGGAACGGCCTTACAGGAATGGAAATTTTTTGGACATTAATGGATTTTACGTGAAGAACAAATGACTCAGAAATGGGTAATGACTAATGGTATAATTGGGTCTAAAATTATATAGATTAGTAGGCTATAGATTAAAGATTTTTTTTTGAAGTGGGCTAGCCCACTAAATTTATTCGTTGGTGGGCTAATGTGGCTAATTATTACAATTAAAAAAAAATTGTTGTATCTGGGCCTAGAAGATAGTGGCCTGCATCCAAGTGCAACCCACTGTTGAATCCGCCCATGGTTGTTTCTTTCTCATTTGATCTAATCTAATTTGCTTAGCCTTTTTTTCC